AAATATGTTGAAACAGCATACAGCACCGAAAACAGGTGAAGTCCAGTTACTTACAGTAAAGGACCCGAATCCCATAAACAAACTGATTAAACGAAGCCATAGGTAAAAGAATACATAGCTCAGGACTGGACTAAAATGGCAACTGAGGCACATCCTCCAGAGGTAGTGGGAGGTAAACTAAAGAAATGCAAAGATGATAGCAGCGGGAAAGGGCGGAAATCGGCCTGCGTTTTGTTAAGAGAGGTAGAGAATCATGGGAAAGGGAGGTGGGAGCCTGTCTATTGTATCCATTTTAACACTCATTAAGCTGGCTTTTAATGCCTCGTACATTTTCTCTGTGTCCTAGTTTACGTTAGATGGTTTTAAAAGAAGTATTTAGGCCGGAAAATGGGCTCAGTCAGTTAAGTGCTTGCCAGATAAACACACAGAACCAAGTGTGATGCTAGAACCTGTGTAAAGGAGTGGGGCATGGTGGTGGACCAGCAATCTCAGCACTGGGGAAGCAGAGATGGGTGGGTTCGTGGGCTTGCTGGCTAGCCAGTCATGTGTCCTCAGAGAGTTTCAGGCCAATGAGGATCCCTGTCTCTACTACTACTACTACTACTGCTACTAAAAATACTAGTACTAATACTAATAGTACTACTACTACTAAGAATAATAATAATAATAAGACATCAATGCAAACAGCTCCTGAAGAATGACACCCCATGGTTGTTCGCTGGCCTCCACAGAGATGTGTATGTCTATACGTCCACACACCTGTTGGCTTTGGGTTTCTGTTGCTGTGATAAAACATCATGGCCAAAAGCAATTTGGGAAGGGAAGGAAAGGGCTTCTTTCATATTACAGTTGTAGTGCATCGTGAAGGGAAGTGCAGGGCAGGGACCTGGAGGTAGGAACAGAGGCAGAGGCAATGAAGGAGTGCTGATTACTGGCTTGTTCCTCACAGCTTGCTCAGTCTGCTCTCTTACAGCACCCAGGACCACCAGGCCAGAGGTGGCACCATCCACGCTGAGCTGGGCCCTCCCACATATATCGTCAATTAAGAAAATAGTCTACAGGCTCGCCCACAGGCCAATCTAGTGGTGGCATTTCCTCAGTTGAGGTTCTTTCTTTCCAAGTGTCTCTTAGCCTGTTTCAAGTTGCCATGAAACTAGCCAGCACATGTGTGCACCCCAAGGAACGTGCTTTCCAGACACACAAAGTAGGAGGAAATATTCGCAGTACATATATGGGACCAAGAGCTGACATTCTCCATACCCAAGGAACCCAAGCCAGGCAACAGCAAAGAGTTGGAGATAGTGATAGTATACACACACACACACACACACACACACACACACAGAGGGAGAGAGAGAGAGAGAGAGAGAGAGAGAGAGAGAGAGAGAGAGAGAGTTTTCAATGAAAATGGGAAAACAAAGTTCAAAGGATTTGTGTTCTTCAGAATGGTCCGCTCATCGTCAACTAAAAACAGCCTTGGTCTCCCTGACCTCAGAACTTGCGTTTTCAAGTGCTATCTCCAGCTTCGCTGGCATCTTGTAGAAGGTGGTTAATTTCAACTATAACATAAGAAAGGAAATCAACAGTGGCATAAAAATGTAGAAAGGAAAATCAAACCCAGGGAATCATGTCCATTCTTAGGACTGGAACAGGTTATATGGGAGTGATGACCTGTTTTAACTCCAAAAGACGATGTCACGTAGGATTGTCAAACCTTCCAGACCAATATAGCCTTGATCATCCTGACCAGGAAGGACAAACTTGATACAGGTGTTGCATCTGGTAACCTAGATATGTAGCCCCTCTCTGAAATGGAGAAAAAAAAAAAACCTCAGTTTGGAACAAGATGCCCCCAAAAACAACCATCTCAGGCCTGGTGCCCAACTCATTCTTCACAAACAGGAAACTGTGGCTGCCAGGAGTAAACTTTGAAGGTTTTGCAGCCACGAAATTGTTCTCATTATACAAAGCTTAATGAGTTTAATGAATGAGACCATACGGATTAAATTTCTCCTACAAATTTACAGATGGGCACAAAGAACAAGAGGGAAAACATATGAGAATAACCGTCTCTGGGGAACTGATCAAACCTCATGGGACTAGAAAGACTGGTGATTGGGAGCTTAATCCTATCTAAAAATGAGTCCCCAGCCCAACTTCATTGCCCCTCCCCACTCTCAGCTGGTCCCCAACACAATTTCACGTTTCTTCATAGGCAGCCAGGAGCTCTGCATCTTCCATCTGGCACCCAGAGAAGTGACTCAGAGCAATAAATACCAAGAAGAAAGAAGCCCTTCACAAATAAAAGGGAGGGAGCCTGACTGGTTCTATGCACCCTGCTCTCATTCCAATACAATGAATTTTAAAAATCAAGTCCAACTATTTCAAAGTAGTGTGTCCCCTTCCATACTTTTGCTCATTGCCCAGTGTCTTTACTTCATCTGATCATACAAGGAAAGTCAACTCACTAGTTCCTGACACTGATCAGGCAAAGGTATGCTGTCATTTACAAAATGTCCTCAAGTTCCTTAAACTCATCATTAGTGGCCCAGGCATGGCTGGGAAGAAGGGTTCTGTCTTGATCGTCCCCTGTACTCAGGCCTCTGAGATATGCTAGTTCTACTGGTAGCCTCTGCCGCTCTTTTCAAGTAGCAGAGTACTTAAGAAGGTTCTCTGATGGGTGATGTAGACCTGAGCTAGTCCCAAGACTGCTCTCAATAAGCCCAGTCTCTAGGATAGATAGTCACAGTAGCATGTAAATGCTATTTAGAGGGATTAGCATCACAACAGAGGTCCTAGGAGTTGGTGCATTCTACCTGAGTGAGCAGGGATGGTGTTCTGGAGCAGATCGAATTCACACTGGATGCTAAAGATGGTTTGGTGTCTTCTAAAAACACCAAGGGAAGGGACGATGCAGATAGACATAGAATGTGCAAAGGAAGGGCCAGCAAGATGGATAAGTGGTAAAGTTGCTTGCTGCCAACCCTGAGGACCTAAGTTTGATCCCTGGGACCCATATGGTGGGAGGAGAAAGTTGTCCTCTGTATGTGCGCACATGTTCAAACACACACACACACACACACACACACACACACACACACACACACACACACACACACACACACACACGGAGTGGGGGAGGGAAGTGCTTTAGATATATGTGCTACAATCTGAATAACCTAGTAAGGGATGGGGGAAGGATTGGATCTCCCAAGGAAGAGGAAATGAAACATAGTGTTTGAGAGATAAAGTGGAGACTAATAGGAGGATTAAATGGGGGAAGAGAATGGAAGTGTAGGGTAAAGGAGGGAATATGTGGAGGGACAACTAACACTAAAAGCCCTTTGAACAACCTTATAGACACCTATTACTTCCTAAAATATATATGTACATGAAAGGAATTTCAACAGTGTCACCACACAATGGGGAAGGCAATGCCTCAACGGGACATCTTATGCCATCAAGTTTTTCCAGTGCCAGGAAGAAGTTACATCTTGTTGAGTCATTGGCTACACAGGTCCTATGGACCCTCCCTAACCCCACATCACAGCCTATTTCTAAGGCTATTGGTTGCTTCTACAACCTGATGGTAAGGCCCTATTTCTAAGGACAACCTGTAGTTATGTCATAGAACATGGAGAAATCAAACAGATGCCCAAACTAGAAACTTCATCCCTACCAACTAGCGTCCATGGTGCTGGAAGGTACTCTCAACATGACTGGAAGAGAAAGGCCATCATCAATGGCATCCAGCTACAAACCCGTTGACCTACAACAGTGACCTACCAGCAAGATACATTGGCACAAAAGTGGCACAAATGTTATTGGAGTTCCCAATGACTTTTTGCTTGGATTTAAGGCCCATTCCAGGAGATGGAACCCATTCCTGACATTGCTAAAGTGACCAAGACTAGACTAGACAAGACAAGACTAGACAAGGTTAGCCCTGAGACTAGATAGTTCATGGGCCTAGGGGGGAAATCTACTAATTCTATTAAAGGAATATGGCAACAAAGTGATTCTTAATGATATGTCGCTATAACCATAGATTAGCGACTCATTCACCCCTCATCAGAGAAGCTTCTTCTTATAGTGGATAGGAGCTAACACAGACACCCACAACTGGATGATGTACAGAGAGAGAAAGACTTCAGAGCACATCAACCCCCTCTCCTTAAGGCTCAGGAATCTAGGTGGAAGATGAGGCAGAAGAGCCAGAGGTAGTGAAGGACTCCGAGGAAACTGTGTTTTTCAGATACAACAGGACTAATGTTCATAAGGATCCACAGAGACTATGGCAACAAGCAAGGGACCAGCACAGATTTAAGTCAGATGGGATCCTAGTGCTGAGACGAGGCAGTGGACATGGTGTCTCACCCCTAACTAAGAAGCTACCTGCAATGGAAACCCGCTGACAAAGGGAAATTCAGTTTTCTCCAACGGAGTCTGACTGGGTATATCAACCACGCTTCAGGACAGCTCCAAACCCAGGAGAAGGTGGGCAATACAGAATGACCTCTGGGTTTTGTTGCTGTTTTTGTTTTGTTGTGAGCTTTTTGCTCAGTTTGGACATAGTATTTAATCTTCTGGGTTTTGTTTGTTTGTTTTGATTTTCATTTGAGGGGAGATTTTTTTTCTTTTTGCTATTGAAAGAGAGAGAGAGAGAACGAACATGAAGTAAATAGGAAGGTCAGGAAGATCTGAGAGGAGTTAGGAGCAGGGAAAGCATGATTAAAATACAGTATATGAAAAAATTAAATAAAAATTATAAATCAATGAATGTCATAATTAAAAAAGAATGTGCAAAGGCCTGAGTAGTAATAATGATGTTCATTCTAATTTGAACCCCAATTCCAGTGGGCAATGCGTGTGCTAATACAGTGCCTTTTTTTGAGAAATTTTTTCAAGTTAGGTACTGTGCCAAGCTCTTCACATGATTTGTTTCATTTAAATCCCTGAAAGATTTTTACAACAACAGTTATTCTTATGTTCCCCCATAGGTACATTCTTGTGTTCTCATGTTCCCCAAAGGGTTCACGATTGGAGAAGTCTTATTGCTGGAACATTGGAGAGTGAGGCAATGGAGCACGCATTTGGTCACCAGGCTATGCTATCCCTGGGGGTGTAAGTATTCAACTGAGAATGCAGCTAACACTCACTAATGAAGACATCCAATCTGTGTGGAGCCGTTCCACTTCTCAGAGGACACTGGAAAGATTAGAAGAGAGAGGACGCGCAGATCGCTTTTTAAACAGGCACGCATTGTAGAGAAGAGAATCTTCCGTGTAGCAAAGAACCAAAGATATGGGATCATGCTGGGCATGGAAAGATTGAACCGAGATGGGTTCATACAATGCTAGAAAGGAAGCGTCAAGGGGTCAAAGCAGCCATGACTGAAATGCACTTTCCAACGCAGGCGGGAGCCTTGTATTCATTAGCTGCTGGAAATAGAAATCACTCTAAACATGATGTAAGTAAACTCCTGGGGAAAATCAGTGTGCTTGGGTACAGAGTCGATGGCAAGGACATCCAATTCTATCTTGGCACCAGGTAGCCTCGCTCCTACCAGCCTGTCCCACAGTTATGGTGAAATGAGAGACCACAGGGAGGCAGCTTCAGAGCACTCCAAAGGCTAAAGCTGTGTCTTCAATTTAGACTATTTATAAACACCCACTTGTTAACACTTAGTAACTGACACAACAGTAATAACATGAGCAAATGCTTACTGGTAGCCAACAGCATCCTGAGTCCCAACCCTCAAGCTCATCCATCCTCTCCATAATCCTATGAGGATGCTATGCAAGGCCACACTGTCAATGCAAGTGGAGGGAGTTCAATCCCCTAAGTTGAAGGCCTGATCTCTTCACCTTGGTTGGAGGGGAAGTATGGAGAATACAAAGTGGGTTCTGGAGAAATAGGCTGCTTTAGCCCACACAGATTCTACAAAGCTGATCCAAGACCCAACAGAAATCTTCCACAGATGCTCACCACATCTGTCACTTTGTGGGTATCGGAACAGAACATTTTTTTTTTTTTTTAGCATGGAGCCCATAGAGGGATTTGAATGGAATTCCTCACAAAACTCCCACCCCTTCTCCAAAGCATGCTGGGACAACTGGAGATGTTCCAGAGTGTGCTTCATGCCCATAATCTTATAAAAGTATGGAACTGATCAAGCCAGATGAAACTCCATTTCGCTCTGCATCAGTGAGATGCTCACACGGTTGTCATTAGGCAGGGAGCAGCTGGAGCTGCCCATGGCCTTGTTCTTTGTGAGCAAAGATGACAAACAGGGAGTCTCCATTTGGGGATGGTTAACAAAGGGGTACTGCATCCCCCCGGGAATGTGTTTGAAGGAAGGCAAGAATGATTCCCTCCGTCCAGCTGATGGGTCCATTTCTGGAAGGAAGAGTGGGGACAAGACTAGGGCTTCTTCCAGAACATTCAGACTCCTTGGACCTCGTAACAGGACGAGTATAAGATTATTCTCCATGCTGATTAGCTTATGATGCCACTAAACAGTGGAAACAGGTTATGACCCGTGAGATCCTTTGAACACAAGCCCTAAATATCTGTGTCTAGAATGGGAAAGTGTCTTCTGAACACCCAGAAAAGTTCATGTTCAGTTTTCTGTGTCTGTGTGGGTCAGTCACTTAGGCCATTTGTCAAATTCCCTGGGTCCATATCCAAGCTCTTCCATTTACTGACTGTGTTTACCTTGGACAAGTTGTTTAGTCATTCTGTGCCTTTTACTTCTCATGTGTAAAGGGGATGTGTAAAAGAGATATTTAGCCCTTTGTGGGGCTTTCAGGAGGATCAGATCATAAAATACATGAAAAGTGCATATGTTGGTATATGGCATATTCAATGTTCAATGAATATGAGCTGCTGTTATTTTGTATCTATTACTGCCGTTTTAAGTATTTCCAATATTTAAGTCTGTGACCATTTTCAGTACAGAGTCTCTGCATTCTGCTTCTATATTACCACCTGCAACAGCATTTAGTATATGATAGACCATCAATAAAGTTTGTTGAAGTAAAAAGGCCTCATGTGTGTCTGTTCATCTGTATACGTGCATGTATTCATTCATTCTGAAAGACGACGATACTAAATCTTCCCAGGATATGACCCAAGTGTGCAATCTCAATTGCATGGCGCCAAAACAGTACCATGACAAGATCTCAGGGCACATTCTCCTCCTCTCCTTTCACGTGGGGACTTCATAGGAAGGAAGCTTTTCATTTTAAGACGTCATTAAAAAATCACATTAATTTTCAACCATAATCAACCCAGGTAATCATTTGATTCTGGAAGACTGTTTCTATATAGAAGCAATCCTCTTTGCCTGTCTGTACATTCTTTAGCGCTATTACATTGCTCAATACAATAGAGAAGATTTCCTTTCCCAAATTATTTGGATAACAGCTCCCTGTCTTCTCATATCCTCCTCCATCACTTGCCAAGAGTGAAGGGTGTTGACTCATGAGATGGGAAACCAGAGTAGAACTTTCAGAGACTGGACTCTGTAGGTTGACTGTCTGCGACCTGTCCACAGTGCATGCATTCTTGCCTCTGTTCGCTTAGAGTGCCTTGGAAGGTAAGCTCACCTGAATGGGATGTCTCCATCTTGCAAACTGGTGGGCATATTACCCCTTTGGTGGACCAGAAGGAAGGCCATTCTCGATAAGCAATAAAACTGAAACCTGGATGTCATGGCCTTCTGTATCTACTTCCCATGGTTCCAAACAGGATGAGGGGAACGCTTGAGGCCAATTTTTTCAACAGCGACATTTCTGCTTAAAGACTAGCAGTCTACCATTCTGTAATCTTGAAGCAATGTAGAGTGGAAGACAAGGGGCTCTGGAACTCCTTGATGTAAGAAAAACACACTTTTAAGATAAATCTTCTTTTAAACTAATTAGTAATGTAATGCACCCAGATCAGTCTTCTATCATTGACTTTCTCCCAACAGGCCCTGGGGCACACTTAAAGTAGTGTAATTCGAGGAGAGTTTATTTATAAAAGAAAAAGAAAATGCAGTCACATGCTACTTAATGGCCGGATATATTCAGAGAAATACATTGTTGAGCAATTTCCTCCTTGGTTCAGCATTGTGGAGTGCACTTATACAAACCTAGATAGTATAGCCTGGTCCCCCCATTGTAACTTCTTGATACAGGAAAGGGACACAGTAAACATGAGATTGGATGAGGCTGCTGCCAGCTAAAGCTGCATACTATTTTACCCTAGATTTCGTTTTTTGCACATAGAAGTGCATTTTATACCAATGAAAAAACCCAGAAACCCATTATTTATTACATTATCAAGTACTGTGCAATTTACATGATTTTATGTGCCATGATTTCATACAACTGGCAGTGCTAGGTTTGTTTATACTAGTGTCCCACAAATAAGTGAGGAATGTCACTAGTTGGATGCTATTTTCCAGGTCTATTGTGGTTTTATGGGACCACAGTTGTATATTCAGTTCATTCTTGGCCAAAATATTGTTGCTTGTTTACTGAGCTTTTGGTGGACTGTAGGAAAGTGTTTCTCTGCAACCACCTTCCCATCTACCATTCCCCTTCTCTTCTACAGTTTAGACAAGTCTAGCAATCTGTACTTGAGTTACTAGTCTATAGCCTGGATTCTTTGTTTGTTTGTTTGTTTGTTTGTTTGTTTTTAAACCGAGTTCTAGACCTTCAAAGCAGATTCTGAGTTCACTGACTCAGAGTGTATGTAGCTAAGAGTGTCTAGGCTGCTGGAAAAATGTCTGACCCTCTCAAATGAGCACCAGTGAAAGAAGGCCACAGCTGGAGCCAGACCAGGTACCTGGTCACAACCTCCAGGTGGCCCAGGCAACACTCCATTCCTTCAGTTAGCAACCAGCTCTTCTCTGCAGTACATAGTATACATTTGTGCAGTGGCGACGGTATCTAGAATTTCCTTTCCCTGAACTAGGCTGATTGGGGCGGGGGGAGGAATTTGCTTTCCAGATCAAGATGGCCCAAACCAGCATATGTTATGACCTAACCAGAAATTTTCTTTGGCCAAAATGAAGAGTAGTCCTGTATTAAGCACAGATAAGGATGGGTGTTCAGACTTGACTGCACCTATACTGCCCATATAGAGAGAGTCTTGGTAAAAAGAGTCATGACCTCATTCCTGCACTTACAGGAACCAGACTCAGTTTATGAAGGAAGAAAGAGAAACTGTAGCCCTAGCCATCACAGCTAAGCAGTCCTCTCCTATACAAGGAAGGACTGGTCTATGCACCCCAAACACATATCCCTTCATCTAACTCAAAGTATTGCTGGAAAAACAATGTTAATGTCCCAAGAGGAAGTTCTAGTTGTCTTCCTTCAGTCAGAACCCATTTCCCCCCCATATGCCTTTGCTAGAAAATACGGTTGAACTTGAATTGTCCGCTCTTCGCTCTGACTCCTGTCTCTTTACTTACTGGTGAGCCAGGATGTTCCCACATCCTGTAGGTCAATAATTAATCTACCTTTCTTGAGAGCTGCAAAGCTCTTTGATAAGCTTAAGTGACTATATCCAGAATCAATCTTGTTGGACAATCAGATCTAACACTTGCTTAGCTTCCTTTCCATTGTGAAAAACTGTTCCTGTTCAAATGTGAAAACATGAACTTTTTTTTTTTTTTTTTTTTTTTTTTTTTTTTTTTTTTTTTTTTTTTGCAGGAAACAAAACCAAGCGAAGGTAGAAGTCCAGAGTTTTGACTAATTAGTCAATCTGCTATCCTGTCTGTGACCCACTGGCTTGCTCAACTGTTCATGTTTGCTGCCAATCAAGGCCTTTCAGTCTCATGTCAGAGATGGAAAATGTTAAGACCATTGAAGTGGAGTCTGGTGGCATTTTGGTTTATGCAAAGAAAATATTGACTCACTACCATGGATTCAGTCACCAGTATCATAATTTGAAAATGACACAGTGCATATAATGTAGGAGGTGGGCCCCTGCAAAGATGGAAATGTACAGAAATGTTAGAAACTAGAATCATTTTTCCAGATGGCTTGAAAATCACATTTCTTTTCTTCTTATAAGATGAGTTCTTGTTCTCCTGCCCATGGTGGTCTTCAACCTGTGGATTCAATAATGCTTCCATCTCAGCCTCCTACAGAGCTGGGACTACAGGCTTAGCCATTATGTGCAACCAGTAATCACATTTTAAAGAGCTTTAATTTCTGAGTCATGATGGTCAATCTTGGGCTCATTGCCAAATTCCCACTTTGGTTGGTTAGCTTTAATTATCAACTTGAAACAACCCAGAAAGCCTAGGAAGAGAGTCTCGCTGAGCAATTGTCTAGATCAGATCGGCCATAGGAGTTTGTCTTAATGAAGTTAATTGATATGGAGAGACTCGGCCCACTGTAGGTGGCACTATGCCCTAGGCAGGGGGTCCTGAACTGCATTAGAGTAGAGAAAACATGATGAGCACAAGTGAGTTTGTGTATATTCACTTCTCTCTTCTCTTGACTGTGGATTTGATGTACCTGCCTGTCTCAAGTTCCTGCCTTGACTTCCCCTAATGACAGACTAAAACCTGGAATTGTGAGCTCAGACAAAGCCTTCTTCCTGTAAATTGCTTTTAGTCAGGATACTGTATCATAGCAACAGAAATTAAACTAGAGCACTACCTCATTCTGTCCCTGGACAGATAAGATAGCCAATTACATTAAATAAAGCAATAACCGCCAAACTTTATGGAAGCGAATAGTGACCACTATTAAAGGTCCAAATTAACTCCTTAGGGACTAGTGTCTGGACACCTTTGCAAATGGATCTCTAGATCTCCACGGAAATGTGTCATATCCATTCTCTAATTTCATTCCATTTCTGAAATGATTTCAGTGTTACCTCTTCGGAGTAATCTTACAGTAGAGAATGGAAACTACCTTTAGGTGGGAACATGGCATTTTTCTGTCCATTAAGATTTAATTTTGTTAGCAAGGTCAATCACCTGGCCAATAGACCATCCTTCATGAAAGTGGGTCCACCTTAAGCGACGGCAGGAGGAGTAATTAGCCCTTTAGTGAGACAATGTATTCTCACACTTCCACAGTGCAAGCTCTCCTGAGCGCCCCCGCCAGGTTCTGTTGGGTCTGCCTGTCTCTCCGAGTCCTGACCAAGAACATTGTAACATTTCCTTTTTCTTCTCTTCCGTCCCGTTCCTTTGACTGCTGGTGAGAACCTAAGTATGCTTGTATCTTGTATCTGAGACTCACGCTTCTTCTATGGCTTCCGTCCCTTGTCATATGGAAGTTTGTCTGTCATATGGCAGTTTGTCTGTCATGTGACTGACCTCCACGCCAACCTAACTCAAACTGTGTGCTTTTCTCTCTTCCTTTTCTCTGTTGCCCTCCTCTGGCCAGCTGCTGACACTTGCAGCTTGCCTGCTTTGCTGATTAATTTTCTTTTAAGTTCTAATAGAATTGTCCCCACACTTTACAGAGATAAAACCGAAACCTCTTTGGGCACAACGGATGACGACAGGAGTCAGGCACACCGGTGCGTGGCTGCAATCACGGCACTTGGGAAGCTGAAGCAGGAGGATCACTTTGGTCAAGGTCAGCCTGAGCTCAGAGGGAGTGAGTCTGGGGTAGATACTGAAACCTTGTCTCAAAAAGAAAAGAACTATCTTATTGCAGTGATTCCCACACGTTTAGATTTTACTGAGGAAGAAAATGGCCAAAAATTAAGGAATGATAGAGAATTCTCAACATTTTACTTTTTACCAAGTTAGGATATCATTCTTAAAATGTGAACGTAAATAAGTACCCTTCGCAGTCACCACTATTTCATACTAGAAGGAACATTTCAACACCAGTAAGCAAGAAACGATGATAACCCAATGAATTAAGAAACAACAGTCAGTGTTGGTGGCTCAAAGGTCTTTAAAAAGAGAGTCAAGGTCATTTTAAATGTTGAAAAACCCACAAGACTAATTTGTAGTCTTATTTCACATATAATTAATTTTTCATATCTGTTTGTGGACGCT